ATTTTATACTTAAAAAGTTTCTTTTTGCGTTTGCTAATTCCATCGCTAACTAAACATAGAAAATAGTACTTTCAGAATCACTGAAATTGAATGCAATTTTGAAAATAAATATCTAGAATCTCGACTAATATTTTCATCCCTGAAACATTTACTGTTAAGTCCGGGAGACCAGTTAAGAGAAAGGGTAACTTTTGTTTGTAATAATGATATAGTTATGATAGTATTTATGATAAGAATGTTGATAGTGATAATAATAATGACAATACTAACCGCAATAACTAAAAATTAAATTTTATTGGATCTATTGAAAGTATCCATGTTTTCCCTAAACATTAAGATTCTCTTTTACGTTTTTGTAAAAACAATAGTAACATTGAGCTAAATAATAATAAATTAATAACTTTGTATATTGTTAAGTATATGAAAATTATATTATCTATATCTTTTGTTTCAGATCAATATAAAAGAACCTGAATTAAAATGCCAAATCAGAAATGGATCACATTAAGAATATGTCTCTTTCTCTTTATCGGCACGACGAAACTTACAATCGGTACGTATTTTTACCCATATTTGTATTAACACTAGGTTTACGGACATTTATTATACACTTTATTCTATTGTTTTTAGAAACATTGATCTTCTGTAAACGCGTTTTGACGCGTTCCGTAAACTTATTGTTAAAGACTTTTCTCATCATTAGCATTAATTAACAAATTTTTTCTCTTCAACAAATACAACTTTTTCGCCCAAATTTTGTATGCACGTTATGGTATTAGACGATATTCTAACAAATTATGATTATGTCATTCGTACGCAGAATTTCCATCATATCTAGTGTAGTACTATGTTGGTAGATGGTTTAAATCAAAAAGGTAATATATACACCAGAGTCCATAGTTTACTCACTATTGATTTATTTCAGAAAAATTGTCCTAGAATAGGTAATTTTATATTTTTTTTTAAATATTTCGAGACTACATTCATACATATTATAGTCTAAAGAATCTAAATGATTAAGGTTCAAAATGACATTCATTCGATGATTTCACGAAACTTGTCATTCGATATAAGACATTTCATTTTTTATGTTTTCACTTGCATTACATACAGTTTGTATTAATTCTCCGCGTGTTTCTGTACAGCCATTTTTGTACATCTTTGATTTCACGTATAATAACTCCGAAAAAGGAAAAGTCATAGTCACGTTTTAACATGTTGATGCCGCACGATTTCGTACAGCAAAATATACAAAATAGAAGAAATATGATATTAAATCATTTGATTGAATTGCATTATTATAAATAATCGTCATTTTTCCCTAAAATTTGAAAGATTCTACAGAGCTACAAGGATGAAAGTATAAATGAAAATTTATAAATCATTTTTATTCAACAATTTCACTTTTTAATAATGTTGACTATGATTATAATGAAGTAATCAAATAATCAGTTCATAAGTCATTGTTTTCAGTATTAGGTAACTTTCCAGGCTAACATCGTTGAGCTGTGACCTTAATTTACATTTGAGCAAATTCACGTTGCTAAACGTCTGTTTACAATAATATGTGGACCCGAATTTGTAACATATATTATTACAAGTATTAATTTGTGAATATTAAGTTGAATATTAAATTGAAAGTATTTAAGGGTCAATTGAATTAGTTTCTTGATTGGGCTAATGAACCACAGATTTCAGATAAAAGAGTTACTATATAACAATAAGAGAATAGCCTTGATAGAGGATATCGGGAAACTCTTATACATCGATTGTAATAAACTTCAGTATACATGTAGAATATTTGAAAAGTATTTGATATATATTTTTATATAATTGCCTATATTCAAGCTTTTGAGCTGAAAGTAAGCCCCAAAATTTCGGATAAAAAAACTGCTTTATAAAATATTGCTAAGAAATACAAAATGATAGTTAGTTAAGCGTATCTCTTTAACTATTAGGAATCAAACTTTTGCTTGTATTAAACTTCCCTCAATATTTAAAATCGGATGTTCTTTTATACGTTGATCTACGTCTCTGTAAATATCCACAATTTGGTTTTTATTTATATAATATTATATGTTTACAAATATTTCCTTCATTATTTCTTAATATTATTTTATTTATTGTAAAATACCGTGAATATTTAAATTGGTAATATAGAAGAAAAATGTGTGCATTACTACGTACTATGAAATCTATATTTATAAATTCTCAATGAAAATAATTAATTAGTTTCACAAATATTCATTGAAAATACTCATCATTCCATCCCTTCGTTGGTATTTTTCGTTGTTCTACATGTGTATCCACTGTTACCGATGTCTGTTGGTCGACAGTGAATCTGAGTGAAAGGCTCGTTCCCCACTTAACTCAATCAGTAATGTCAAAACTTGTCCGAAAACATTACGCAGGTAGAAAGTACAAAGTTGAAATAAATTGATTTGGTGCAATCAATTTATTGGTATATGGGTCAATAGTTGAGGTTATGTACAGAACTATAGAATGAACAATTATTCACCTATATTTTGGGAAAGTAACGTTGTTCTCGAGATTTGTTATTTAAAACCTTTCAACTAAACAAAAATTAATTTTTTATTAGTAAATAAAGACGAAGGAATTTCAAAAATTAATAATTCACAGGCAAAGGGGAAGAAAAACAATTTTACAAAAGTCGTTTAGTAACGAAGAGAACTCGTCGCACTGACAGTTTATTGTAAAAGTGGTGAAGTGGTGAGACCACTGACAATAAATTTACCGAAGTCCTTATGCATTGATATACATATAGATAAATACAAAATGTAAATAACTTTTACACTGTCAGTCAAACGTTTGTGACTATTTAATATGTAATGTCACAAATTAAAAATGATCTATCTTATAAATATATAAACTAAAATAACAAAAACGATATATCTTTATATTTGACTAATACACATACGTTTATGTTCTTTTATTATACACAAAAATCCCCCAATAAACGTTGTTTACAAAACATCGAAGTTTTTCTTTTAACCGATGTATCAATCCCAAACTTTTGTCCGACAATGTATATGTTGATAACTGTCATACTTTTAGTTTGAAAAAGTGGAACCTTCTGGTTACCTTTAAGGGTAATTTTTATATCCTTAAAAAACGATTGAACACAACTGAAACATATCGTTATTTTTATATCAAATCACTCTGCAAACACATAAACTGTCATCCAAATTAACGAATTCGGATTTGTAGAGGTGCCTTAAAAGTCATGGTAGTGGTTGGCATTCCACTTATAACAATTATTCTATTAAATTTTCAATGTGAGCCAAAAAGTGTTTATACTTCGAAAAGGAAGAATTCCTTGGCCAATATTTGTATGGCCTGTTTTTATCTTTACGAGCAACAGAGTACAATACTGAAATTTGACTATCTGTTTCGATATCTGGTCTTTTTATTCAGAATTACCTATCAAACATACTGAGAAAGATGTGTAGTGACTCTTAGGACACCCTACACGAGTAGCAGCATAGCTGTATGAAATACCCCGTCACTATTCTAAAATTTTTGTTTCACTATATTTTCCGAATTGAAAAACGTCATGAATGTATGGACACCCACAATTTGGTTTTGTAGACAAAGCATACTGCCATTCAAGCGCTTGAATCACTTTATCATCTCAAATCAAATAATCTATTCCTTAGTCGAATAAATATTTTTCTGTGAATAATTATTATATTGTCGAATGACATTGTCATGGAAGTAACAAGTAAATAACTAAATGTATTTGTCTCGTTGAAAACTAATAGTAATATTATAATTTCAAGTAATGAAGCATATTTCAAAATTCGATACGTCGATATAGATTACATTATAGCACTACTTTCGTTGGTAACGGCTAATCATTTCTGCTGAAAATGGAGCGAAACACTTGAAACCCCTTAACCTCTTTTTGCAGAGAAAGTATACTTGGAATTTGCATTCGGTCCGATGATTCTGTTTATAATTGTGTGTTATGCGATCAGACAAGAGACGATTATTATCAAACACTTCAACCGTAACAGAGAAATTATGGAATTTATTCTGATATCTGCTACGAGTACGTATATAGCGTGTCCCATTTAATTTCCGCAGGCAAATATCTCGAAACGTATGGAAAATATACATCAGATTTGTCCGGCATCCTGTTTAATCAAACCACAAAATTCAATAACGCGATAAATATTTGTTTGTATATTACAAAATACATCAACACGATGTATGCACTCTTTGAACACTAATACAAGAGTGAAGAGTAACGCATAATTCATGTTTCTTTTACACAACAATCGTAACGAAATAATCAATAATTTTATCAGCCGGCGTCGATAAGACATCATTTTTAGCGAAAATCATAGAATAACAAAGAAGTCACGATCACTTATATTTGAAATAGAACTTGAACTTGAATTTGAATTTGAACTTAAATTGGAACTTTAAAATATTAAAAATGGAATCTCATATATAGTTTTCACTATATATTATTATTGGCATCAAACTGTTTCTAAAATACTATTTTCGATAGTATTTTTGAGTTTTTATAAGCCTTATTGAAAAGAAAAGTGGCATAATAACTGTTTCGTTTCAACGTTACATAAAAATTAGAGGCATGCCACGGACGTGTATTGCGTTATTCGCTTTATGTGCGCTGCTACTGAATCCAAATCAACTTTAAATTGTTATATACCTGCCAAGTAAATTATATTGTGACATCTTTCGCGTGGAATCTTGTCACGTCATATTGCGAATGCGTCCCGTGATGTTTTTGCAAACGCTAGAACCTCTTTAATCGCGAAAGAAATTCTAGTATTTCATTATACAATTAGCAACTTAAATATAATACTGTGCACCTAATTTCTCTTTGCATGGATGAAGTCTCAATCAGCCAGTTAATATCGATGAACATCAACCATTCAAATAAATTTCATGACATTGAAAGAAATATTAATCTAATGAAAGAATGAAGTAAAAACGATTATATTCGCCACTAGATAGTAGATTCTTTCTTCATAAATTATTACTTATTTCAACTGTCGTCTTATTCGTAATTTCAGTGAAAAATGTAACCTAGAAGTGCGACTAATTATGAAACATTAGATATCCCAACGAATAGCTTTATAGGTCGCTACCAAGAAGCTTCAGCTTAAGTTAAAAAATTAATTTATTAGTAATTTATCAAATTATCACAGTAGTCTGCTGTAATTATTTTAAAAAATTCGCTTTAAGACAATCTAAATAAAGCGTCAATGCAAGTGTACGAAAATCTGTTAACAGTGGAAAAAGTTTGTTATTTTTTATGATTAATTATTGCAATAATTATAACGACGAATTTTTACATTTTAACGTTAGATTTGTGGACATTCACTATACAGTTCATTCTGATGTTCTTAGAAAAACTGTTATTCGTTATTAGTATCCATTAGTAATTCCAAATACATAACTTATAGACTGCAAAATTCATGCATTTATAAATGTTAATGGAGGTTTAATAGATAGTTTCATATAGATCAGATTAATCTAACATAGTATCTATTTTGTTTGCAACCAAATGAGATTCTCAATGGAAAGTTTAGGTTTTCAATTAATTTCAGTAACTGATAAGGAAATTGAAAGTTGTAATTTGCTTAATGATTCACAATATTATAACAAGTCTTCCACTACAATAAGATAAAGTGAATGTATACTTCCTTTTTTCTGTATAGGAAATCCCATCCGAGACGAGAGGTTGAAGAGAGAAGCGGAAATAGCTGCAACCAATTGGACTCAACTTGCAGATGAATGGTTCGCTGCCAGAGCAAAGGCTGCGGAAAATTTCGATGTTACCATTTTGCCATTCACTGATACACTCAGAGATTTACCACCAACCGTAGAAACTGTTGTCATTAATGGTACCAGCCCTGACCAACTTGAACGGGTATTACTATTATTTATGATTATTTAAAAATAATTATTCTCTTTTCTTGTTGTATTTCCCTTTAACGTCTGTATTCTTATATTTACGTATGTGATCTTTTCTAAAAACTCATTTTTAATAAGACGAATGCAACATTGAAAATGTATTTCTTGTAAAAACAAAATAAAGAGAAATTTAAAGAGGAACATACTATTGTTACACGTATACGCGTAATATTATATCATCCAGTTGCAATTAACATTGTTGTAGTAAATCGATTTGCTGAAATATTGCACTTACATATTATACATACACTTCTTTCTTGCACTCTCTAGATTGTTATCAGTTTTATGTAAAGTACGCGTACGTGTATCAGAAACAGCCTATACTACGATGTATTTACATATACATACGTGTTTCCTATCAGATACAGGGTGTGGCACGTTCAGACACTTTCGGTAATTTAACAAAAAATTGTTTTAAATGGAAGTAAATCAACATCGAAACATCTATTTCTATCTTTTAAATTTCATTTTTGATATACTATTAGTATATAAATTATTGTTGCCGTTATTTATAGTTTATTCACATAACAGGATAACTGTAATGATTGTTACATTAATAGTTGAATGCGTCTTCCATATTATAGAACCTTCGTGTTAATACATAACATTTTGTATGCTAATATGTTATTCTATATACCAGTACATAGAATATACTTACAATAACATTAAATTTTTCAGTTATCCTAAGACATGATTAATGATCATTAACTCCTTGACCTACAATATCGGTTCAAACTTGTGACAAAAATTTGAAACTGAATTTGAGAGATGCAACTGTTTTTTTTTTAAATATACATAAAGTATTACTACTCTATTCGTAACCGTTATCTTTTAATGTACAGGTGGACATGTAAGCGTCAACACTTATTCTTTCCCTAATAAATTACTAACGACAAGGTAGTTGTATCGATCTTAATTATGAAATAAATCATGGGTCAAGGGGTTAAGTACTTTGTTAAAGAACGATACATGTCAAACATTCTTCTACTTCCACTATTAATAAACCCAGATCAATAATTGCAAAGTTTTAGTACAGTTTATATGTCGATTGAAAGAAATACGATACACACTATATTGAATTCTTTGCAGACGAAGATTCTTTGAAATGTACAAAACCTTTAGCAGATGAAGCTAAATTGTATATCGATCGCATAAATAATAAAAATAAGGAAACTTCGTACTGGTCTCTTGTTGTTTGAATAATTAGATCATTCCTTTGCGACGTACTGTTCCAAAGGGTTAACTCATAAAAATGTTTATTGATCTATCTTGATATTCTTACAGTAATTTCTGGAATATATTAAATTTGATCCACGCTCCTTTATATTCTATAATTTCTGTTGAAAATACTTCTCCAGACCTTTGATACTTTGCAAGAAATTTGTTTGAAAACATTAAAATGGAGCAAAAGACTGAGAATATGTAGCTACTAGCTCCATTTATGAGTATGTGGAAATATTGCTGTGAAGAATTTACAGTCTATACATAATGGACTATTTTCCCATCATTTGTAAGGAATAATTGTATACAGTTTTTTTCATATACTTATAAATGTTGAAAGTATTTATGCGATTCCACTTATGTTACCCACGCTGTGTAACTATATCATATTTACAAGGAAATGTATCGAACACGGAAGTTCAAAAAATGATGAAACTTTGCATGTAAATGAGTAAGTCAAGTCTAATACATTGCAATGTTTTTTCGTGCTGAATTTCACTTTGACAGGGTCAAACCACCCCTTGAACAAAATGCAAATTTTTCTTTCCTACGGATTATTAAAATACATTGTTCTTCCACGTGTATAAAATTGTAAAATAAAATCTTTAAACATTTTTCAAATTTTCCAAATTTTGAAAAACTTGAACTTTTTTTTATACTCTACTTGCACGCAAAGTTACATAATTTTTTGAATTCACGGACTCGATACCTTTCCTTGTTAGGTAGCTCTTAATAGGACTTCTTCTATATTTGCAGCAATTACTGAAATGTCTTAGAAAGCTTTCGAACGTTAATGAATACTATCTCTTTAAATATATGCAAATATATAATCTACAAACGCTAAGAGATATTCGATTACTTTTTTAAGGTACATAGTACATTGAAATTGGTTTCTCTTTTAATTTAACGCACGTAATTAAAGACAAATTCTCTTTCTCTATGAGTTTTGAGAATAGCGTTGGGTCAACATATTTTTAACTAATAATTTAGTCAACAATTTATGTCAACATATTTATTAAGATAGCCAATAGATCGCATTTTTAAATGGAGACTGAAAACAGATTTCACTACGATAAATAAAACTTCATTGAATTATACATTGTACATTTTATTTGGAAGTTTTCTATTGTCTTTCAGTTTATTTATGTGTAATACCTATTCGCACATCGTAATATAAACAAGGCATTGAAAAGTAAAACGACGAGGGCAATCCAATACATTGATTATCATGACATAAACGGACAAATGTTAGAAGTCACATTTAAATTACTCTACTGAAGTATTATATATGCGGATGGAATGATTAAGTATTTGGATTAAATAACTAAGTAATTAAAAAATAAGTCGACAAGGAATTAGAGTATCTTGTTTATTAATTTCTGCAAGGTATAGACAATATACTTAACTTGTCTTTCGGTTCTTCCGTATTTCTCTGACTTTTTTTCGATCGAACTCCACGATGTCGCCGACTCTCACTTTTAGTGCCAAAATACTTTCACCAACTTGATTGACGAAGATACCAGTATATATGCGTCCTTTCTTTCCATATTTACTCGTATACATACAAGCCAATGACAGTGACTTTCCCCGCGAAAGTTGCACGATGATCAATACAAATTTTTTTTCCAACATAATTGTCCTTATTCTCTACCTTATACATATCGTTCCCATTTTTTCGTTCTTTCCGTATTTATCTGTATTCTTGCATAATAACAATATACAGAGTATAGCAAGAAAGTTCGGAAGTGAAGTGAAGATATTAAATCTTAAAAATTAATCAAATTTAAACGCAATTTAAACTCTGTATTAACACATATCTGCCAGATCTTTTTTTAGATTAATATCGATCAAAGATCAGCAATTTGTTTTATACAATCTGCGGAAGTGCTCTTTTTATATAAATACAATGTAACTTTTAAATTTCCATGGGTATATCGATACTTTTTCCGTTAAGAAATGTTTGTTTGGTGAAAACTTAATTTTAATTTATTTAGATTTGAAGAAGCAAGAATCATTTATATACTGCAAAAGATGATGATCTGTTAAATGATGAATATTCGTTATCCGGCTGGATATATGTGTAATAATACAATAAAATCATAGAAATACAGTGCATTAACTTTTCAAAGAACTTATCATCAAAACAAACAGTACACTATAAACGATGTACAAGTTTTTAACAACAACCTGAAATTTACACTTTGAAGCAGTATTTTTATGACCACAACAAAAATTTATGTTTTAAATCCAAATACGAATAATTTGGAATTAGGTAGATTATTTAATTTGAAATTTTTTTCAGTTTCATGAAATTATCTGAAATTGTATAGGCACGTAAAATTGGAAAAGAAATTGTAACAGTTTTATTGGAACAACTTTACAAATCGTTTATTATTGGACATAACAATAAACATATGAAATCACGTGTGTAATTCTAGGAATGAAGAATGGAAAAAATATAAATTGATTTTGTAAGCAAGCAACTCTCTCAATCTGTAGCAGAAATACACTGACAGTTTTTCCTCGCAAAAGGAAAAATGCATCGTAGTTGTTTTGTACTGTGTCTAAAAACAAAGTCGAATTTTACATTTTATTAAGTGTGCTAAATGAAACGTATTCCTGCGTAATTAACACTAAAACTACTGAGCACTTAAATTGACTTTTTGAAATTCCTCTATAAAAACTCCAAGAGTGCATCTGTTCAGACTTTAATTGATTTTCAGGTCAGTTTGCGCATTGCTATATCAATTTCTCTAATCATTTTTCAGACGATCATTTGTCATTTTTTTAATAATTACATAAAGATGAAATCAGGAATCGGTCATTTTCAACTGTTTGATAGTTTTAGGTTTAAGACTCACGCTTGTGTTCGTTACCCTTTAGGGTCATCGGTGACCCCCATAGCATTCAACGTGTTAAACAACGATCTACAAACATCCACTTTTATTATATATTGAATTATCAGTTTAAAAAATTGATTAAGAATTATTTAATGAAAATCTAATTGAATGTGTATTTGTATCACCTATAATATTATATTAATAAGGCTTCTTTTCTTTATAAATTTTTTGTATCATTAAAACGTCGAATGTACTGTAAGTTCTAATTCTCTTGGTGTATTTTTCAGTACAATTATTCTCGGATGCTATGGGATATGGAATCTGCACAGCCAAGCGGACAACTCTCAGGATTCGTAGACAAAGCTCTAAAGTTATTAGACTTAAAGCAAGTTATGATGGAAGTCGAAACATCTGTAATGTCAAAAGTCTCCTGTACAGCGTGCAAAGCCGGCACGGGTCTGCTTCAGTATTATATAAAGGCTGGAAAGAGTGACGAAGACATTATGAACAGTATATACCAATTTTGCGTGTCCCTTAATATTCAGAGCTCACGAGTTTGTCAAGGAGTAACCTTGCTTTTTGGGGTAAGTTACATATTCTTACATCTCCCGTCTCAATATAATACAGTGACGTTCAAAAGTTCCCGGTTAGATTGTTTTTGAAACTTTTATTACACAATAAAGGCTTTAAGAACTTTTTGTTATTATAGCATAAAAAGGACTTGTTGTATGAGAGGATACTGTAAAAAAACCAACGCCATCTATTCTTTATACATATCTTTTTAGAAATAAATATTTCAGCATGTTCAACGGTTTTCGGTCAAAGTGTTTAAAAAAGAAAATAATGCTTGGTTTCTATTATAACATTAACGACAGCGACTCATCGATATGGCATGGACTGCATTTGGACTGCAATTCCAAAAACGATCTAGCTGGGAACTTTTGACTGCCATTGTATATATCACTACATATTTCTCAATTTAAAACGCTAAAAATGGAAACAATAATACAGGGTAGATCGAAAATCGTAGTACAATCGGACAGGGAATAATTTTACGTGAAAAAATAAGACAAAAACTTGGTACAACATTTCTTCAAACGAGAAAATTTCGAGAAAATCGATTTTAAAATTTAAACAATTGAATATGATTTGATGGTCGTTATTCTAACTAGTTATCTTTATACAAACCGGTGTTGATAAACAGTAACAATGATATGTATTTGTTTCTCAACGCTTATTTCGTTGCTGAAATGTATAATAAATGCAGCAACAGATTTCGCGTGATGCTCGCTTCAATTCCACAGAAATCTGCTCGGCTTAATTCCACTGCACCATCTCTACTCTTCCCCACTACTCACTATCTCGAGCTCAGTACAACGTGATATCAGTAGACATGAACAGACAATGAATACAATGAGGGGAAGAAAGACAGACACAAGTCAAAGAAATACTGCACGCGTCGACTTTAACATGCAATGAAGAAAATTTCAATCACAATCATTTTAACCTTATCTTCTCAATCGTAGTATCAATGAAACGTTGAGATTCTTCTCATTGAAAGTAGTCCAAATACAACGTAAATCCATCTAGTTTGATCAATTTGGAGCAAATGAATCTTTAATTTCGTTAATTACATTACATCAGTAAAACTAGTTTGATTTCCATCGTGTTTGGACTCATTTTAATTACAACCATCTCAGAAATTTACTGGCACTGCATTTGAAAAGATAAGATTTAAATTACCGCAATTGAAATCGTTTTCATTGTATGTTTCTGTTTGACTATATTTTCTCCGCTTTCACTCACTATATCGATTCTTTGCCGTTGTCAAACTGTGCTCGAGTCAGTTCCTGGAAGGAAATAGCTTCCTCTTATTTTTTCTGCTCGCGTAAATTCCATTGCAGAGACTCGAAACTGTGGAATTTAACCGCTTGGCTTACAACAACGTGTGAGACTCGTGGTGAACATTTTAAATACAATTTAACAAACGTAAATACTACTCAATTCCTTTGAATTCAAATTAAATATTAATCTTCTGTTGTCAGTTATTATATTCTAGGGCAAACATAGACGTAGAATATGCATAGAATTTTTATCTTTTCTCAACAAATTATTACTGACAAAGTTATTGTATCAATTACAGTTGGAAAATAAATCATAGGGCAAGAGGTTAAGCGAGAATTACTGTATATCTTCGAGAAAAACCGGAAAAATATCAGTACTTATTTCGATTTCAGTGTAACCTTCTGAGCCTTATATTAATATTCTGATTTTAACTTCCAAGCCTGTATTAAAATCATACCAGGATTAAAAATGCATAGTAAAAAGTATATAATATATATTATTTGAAATACGGCTTACCTGCATCCTTCTCAATAATAGACATTTGTATTGTTAATTTAACTATCGTAAAGAACTCAAACAATGCGTCTTCAGTCCCTTACCTAATTAATCTCAGATATTTCTTATCAACTGAACCGAGTAACACAGAAAAATTTCAAGATAACCAGGAATAAAAATCAAGGTATTATATAATTGTATACTGCTAGAAAATCACTTGATGACTAGGCTGAGTAATTTTCTGTTAGTACTATATTCCAATTCTTAATACTTTCGATCGTTAATTTGCAAAAACTATAAAACTATAAAATAGAAAATCACCTGTTGCCTCTGTGACGTTCCGCTAGACATCAAATCATCTCCCAATTGGTCATACATATATCTACTACATATAATACTTTCTTAACACTATGCCGTCGAATAGCATCGAAATATTGAGTGTAGTGAAAAGTAATAAAATCACATCTATTGTAATAGAAAATCTTACATTTACTTCCATGTATCTTCGAAATTTCAAAACATTTTTGTCTTGTATTAAGATATATTGTAAAAAGTATTTTTGTCACGCGTGCAAACGTCAAAGTGCTAATAATTTAGAGCATTTCTTTGTCTATATAAATACATTACAAAACTGGCAAAAATAATTAGACAAGAGGTTCGACCTTAGCAATAACTTTCAATCTAATTCTGTGTGATTTTACATTTGTTTAGAAGGAAGTTATTTACGTTCTAAAACAAGTAAATATGGGTCCACCGCAAATCTGCAGCTTCATAATTGGCGACGCTTGCGACGATACCTACAATCCTTTACACGAATGGGAGGTAGCTTTTCCACCAGTGAACAAACCGCCCATTAAACCGCCTATACCGCCGGAAGACGGTGTACCGACCTTCAAAGTGCTTCACATCTCTGATACACATTATGATCCGTACTATCAAGAGGGCGCAAACGCGGATTGCAATGAACCATTGTGCTGTAGACTTACCAATGGAGCACCACTTAACTCGGCCGCTGCTGCCGGCCGTTGGGGAGACTACAGGAAATGTGACACACCGAAAAGAACAGTCGAACATATGCTCAAACATATCGCCGACACGCATTTAGTAAGTAATACATTTAAATTGTCAGTAGAGCCCCGTATAACGCGATTAAAAAATTCGAAATAGCGATTTCACGTTTACGAATCTCGCGTTAAATTCCTTTTTTAATACCAGTCCAGCTTCTTTTCGCGTTTGCATGACTTGCTTATAAAGAATTTCACTTTTACAGTTACATTTCGTTACGTTAACGGTTAAAGTGTTTAACCCTTTGTCTTATGATTTCTTTCTGAACCGTGATCGATATAATGATTTTGTTATTAATCATTTATTGAAAATAAGAGCAAAGTCCTAGGCATGTTCTATGCCAACGTTTGCCCTAAAGCATGATTATTTATAACAAAGGAGTTATACTTAATTTGAATTCAAATGAAATGAATAATATTTATGGTCGTTAAATTCTATTTGAAATCTTCACCGCGTGTCTGACACGATATTATAAGGCAAGGGGTTAAGTGTCTCAAAAATTACCTTCAACATAGACCTTTGAAATTGTTTTCCTATTATATTTCATCCGATAGGTATAGGAATACTCTATACCTATTAATAACACAAAAGGTGACATGTAAAACCTTTATTCGTATCGTTTCAAAACTAATAACGAAAGATATTATACACAATTTAAACAAATATTACTGTTATATACAACAATTTCGCAATTTTAAATTTCGTCATCGAGTATATGAACTGTTTTATATGAAAATGAAAGTAAAGAATTTTGGAAATAACAGTTTCATTCACAACATTTTCAGATGCTTAATAGGAATCGAGTAATTATTATAATAAAACAACGAACTTGTACATAGACCATTAAATTTTATAGCTGCTAAGTAATTTATATGAAGTGTTCCGTAAGTAAGATGGAAAATATGAAAAAACGTCATATCGAATCATAATTACATTTATTTCATCTTGTGATTATCTTGAAAAGCCCTCTAAATGTTAACTTTAAAACTTTTATTTTAATACTATTAATAAACAGACTTTCGCAGTTGTTGAATATACATTTTTCAATTACTAGATATTTACATTTTCTGCTTTGAAATTTAAAACCGAAATAAATGTCCAATATCTGAAACATCAATTTTTCTCATTTTATGGTCTGCAAAATGTACAAAATCCAAGGAACTTTCTCACAGTATACAGTGTGTATCTGATTAGTAGAAATTATCATTAGGAAATGATACTTGCATTTTTTCCTTGTTGAAAATCTTTGTTATTAGTAAATTATAAAGTATAATAACTCTTATTCCATAAATATCAAAATTATCTCTTAACTTTCTTGAAATTCTTATTTGAAAATGCTCCTTAACCTATTTATCACTGATATTTGCAAGATATTTCGATACCTTTTTACTGTATGCTGATGACTAAACGATTTGTCACTATATTGGGAATATAATGTAAACATTGTTAACTTAAAAACGCCATAAAAAAATATTGTAAATATACAAAATGTTTCTCTTTGAAAAACTTATTTGTCATGTAAAGAAATGTAGTATACTTAATTAAATTGAATTACGTTGCCCTCACAATCACTTTTGTTAGCTAGTTATTGTTGTTATTTAGGATTTATACTTCAGCTTCTGTAGCCATTTAACTTTAACTGATTATCTCGAAAAACGTTTACAACTTGTGAATGATTAAAGTGTAAATTTTTAAGTCTCATTCACAGAGTCTTAAAATTTCTTAAATTTATATTTATTATCTTTTTTTTCGTTATTTTGCCGTGGAAATTGCTGCATATGTAAATATCGAAAGAGTTCGATACATTTTATGTAATATAATTGGACAGTAGATATTATTTACTTAGAAAAATTAGACTAGGATATCTTGTAATTTAAAAATTTTATTTTATCATAGGATATAGATTATATTCTATGGACGGGAGACATTCCACCCCATGATGTTTGGGCGCAAACGCGGGAAGACAATTTGAAGGTTTTGGACGAGACTGTAGCACAGCTCACTGAAAAGTTTCCTGGAATACCAATCTTTCCAGCTCTAGGAAACCATGAAAGTGCTCCTGTCAATAGGTACGTTCTTTTTCTTTATTCCAAAACTGTATTGTAATTACAAAATGGAACTATTAACCTTTGAAGTTTTTTCGACATTATGCTTATAAACATTGAAACCTTTGGTTTGCAATAGAAGTTCGTATTTAAATACATTTCCAATTTACAATTTCAGTCGAAAAATTAACGACATTATTAAAAAAAACTCGTACGAGAAACATAATTAGTACTGTGAAAATATTGTTTGATAATTTAATGCTGCTGTTTTCATTAACCACTTTCCATGTTTTTACGTTCAAGCATGCGATCCATCTTATAAAAAAGTTAGAAAAATAAGAAATTTTGAAAGCGTAATATTATTGAGTGAAATGTTTTATATTTAGAGACTTTATAATTAATTACGATTATAATATGATTATAATTATGATATACCCGAACTTCATCAGACATCAGAACATAACAGATACTTAATTAAAAGCTGCATGATGTTACGATTAACATTTTGTAAGCGGAAGTTCGAAAGGGTCAGGATGGTTTTTGTCGAACAAAAATACATTGTTTGATGATTATTTAGTTTATTAAAATGACTGGGCTGGTCTTTGACGCCTTTTTAAGCGCCCTTGCGTTGAGGGCGCGTCAACAATCCCGCGAAACCGTTTCCGCACGTGTGTCCGAATTTTTCTTGGTTACCGACAGAAAAACTATATGCCACAACATTTTCGGGAATCGCTTCTGCACGTGTGTCTCAATTTCTGAGCGTCCTGTATCGGCTTCCGACAAAAGACGCCGCGCTACACACAAGAGTTGGCTCTTACAATTTAAATATTTATTTATTTGTCATTTGCCATTTTATTATTACACTTTGTGTAATTTACGTTAACCTTACATAACTTACGTTGGTATGCTAGAGAGGAAAATAATATTTACAAACCAGACTTCCTTTACACGTAGAAGTCAGAATGAAAAAAAATGTAATCTGATTAGATACTTCTATGGACGATATGACGTAACTGAAGTAATTATTATTATTTAACTTCGATAATATTTGACTAACAAGCTTCCAACAAAAAAACGAATTATAACGAACTTGTTTAATTTCAGCTTTCCACCTTCTTTTGCTCCGAAGGATAGTAGTATATCATGGTTATACGACGCCCTTGATAAGCACTGGAGACGCTGGTTACCTGCAGGCGTTTCACACACTGTTCGCAGAGGTGCTTTTTATTCGGTCCTAGTACGTCCAGGTTTCAGAATACTTTCAGTCAATATGAATTACTGCAATAACAAAAATTGGTGGCTGTTAATTAACAGTACAGACCCAGTAAGTGAATTACAATGGCTCGTCTATGAATTACAAGGAGCTGAAATGAATGGTGAAAAAGTTCATATTATTGGACATATACCACCAGGACATTCAGACTGTTTGAAGGTGTGGTCCAGAAACTATTACCATATCATCAATCGGTTAGTAAACTAAAATTAGTTTTATGACACGATAATCTACATTCCCTTATCATTCTCTTCCATAATATTCTTCTCTCGTAATCGGTCATTTTATAATAAATATATAAAGTTTTTGTTTCTTTTTGTCAATACCATTTCCCCTTTCTTCTTTTAAAAAAATAAAGAAATAAGATGCCACTAATTTAAAAAGTTACAGAATTGCATCAAATAGTTTTCTAAATGAATTACATACATTAAATAGAGCAGAATATTTATATCAGGAGATGCTGTCCTATATTTCATCCCTATTTTGAAATGAGAATGAAGAAAACTTCGAATTCTGAAAATCTGCGTCACATTCCCTTTATTTTTAATGTTAATGTTAGATTTAAAATATTCACCTGCTTTTGGTAACTTAAACAGATATGCAAGGACATAAGATAAATTTCTTCTTGCATTGACCCAAACTTTTATTTTATTTATTTTGCTCTTATAAATATTTTATTAACGTTCTAAACGAATGATTTAAATAAAGAATATTTTTCAAAGCTAAGAAACAGAATGTCCGCAACTTATTTCGAAGCATTTATAAATAAATTTATTCTTTATTCCAAGACACAAATTAGAAAAAATACGTTCTTTTTACTTTTAATCTTTGAAGATCCATCTCCGTAATATTAGGTGTGTATATTTATATAGAAGTTTTTTCAAGAAATAAAATTTATAATAAATCATAAATCATGTCACGGAACCATTAAAACGTTATACTGATACTGTTTTCAATTCAAAATGTAAAATATTTCCGTGATAAACTTGATGTTCCCCTTGACTTAACACTGCTTTTTTTAGAATGGTACTATGCATTCATTGATGTTGAGAACCACTGGTACCACTTTGTTTCATACCAAAATATTTCATTCTTTCATTCTGGAAGAAAATTTGTTTCAGTTTCCGATTTCCTTACAGATAATGTCTACTGTATAGAATGGCATAATTATGTTAAGTTTTTAAAATAAACTGAAAGGCCTAAACAATTAATAGGCAATTTTAAATAACAAAATTTTATCTTAAATAAATGAATTATTTTTATTAGTTTCAGGTAATGAAATAATTCATTTACATCTCCACAAAGAAATATTTGAAATTAACATTACATTCATTTGAGTATTTGTTATGGATGGTTTCAGAAGATTAAAAGTCAAAATGAAACTGTATTCAATTTGTTTAAAGTTTCTATTTTCACTAATTTTTTAATGATTTTTAAACTCTACAAACACACAAAGTTTCAGTCGACTTATGGTATAAATAATTACTAAAAACACTCATTAATCACATTTTATTGCATCTATTATAGTAGCAACAAGAGCAGATGAAGAATGAAATCGCAGGACAGAAACGGGATATAAACAAGAAATTGCTTGTTCGTTACATATTATAATTACTTCCTGACTTTCGAATGATATTGTTTATAACTTGTATTTTTTATCGACGCTAATCGTCACTGAATGAATGAAATACCCACAGTTGGTGATCAGTAATTGAAATGGCCGCGAAACGTGATCTATTTTAAAATAATACGCATGTAGAACAATCTACCTACATATCCAATTTCTAGCGACGCTGCCACTAGTCATATGTCATTTTTCATTAGATTAGTCGCAATTTATTGCTTTTCTCTGGACACTCTACACTCTGCATTGTTGATCTGTTACTTAATTTTCTAATTTTCAGGGAAAATAAAATATAGGATTAAATTAGAATGATAACACGTATGAAAACGTACTCAAATTTTGGTCTTGATTACAAAGATCCATGCATTAATTACGTTGTCCAATATGATTTTTGCTCTGCAACATCCACTGAGACAGTTTTATAGAATGTCCTGGAATGAACCTGGAAACAAAATTACTCTGTCAATTCCATTTTTGAGAAATTAATTTAAAAAGTAATTAAATTTTCAACTTTAAACAGACATTTGTATATGTTAAGTATAAAAGATTTACAAAAATGTTTTTTGCAGAAAATGACTGTATAAATACTTAATTAAAATTTATATAAAAATTTCCAACAGAATTATCTATGTTATCTATGTTAATGTCAGTGATTCTCAAAACTATCTTTTGTTTGACATTTCATTCGGCTCAATACGCCTAGTTTCATTAATACAATTGTATTAATTCCTTTCTGTATTGTTCAGATTCGTTATTCACATGTTATTCGTAAAAGAGATATTCTCAAACGTATTACGTATTTTCTTAATCAAAAATATAATATTTAATTCAACTTTCTTTGATATTTTATTTTATCTTTTTTGGTGTAAGTTGTTATTTCTATAGTAATATTGTCGGCTGTATCTCGTGGTACAATGTTCATTTTGTTTTATATCCTTAGTTTTTATAATAAATTGAAAAACAATTTTAATAATGGCGAGTATTCCTCGTATGAGATGTTTGTATACCTTTTATAGTTAATGAAAAACAAGTATCTCAAGTTGAAAATTTAATTTCGGACAAAATTTCTTCAAGTTAAGAATGATGAAGAAAAACGATTTTCAGATTCCTATTCAGCTACCAAAAATTAACAAGAGTTGTATATTGAATTTTAAAGAATATAAGAAAATTAAAAAATTCATAAGGCAGTGTTGTAATCATAATGATATCCATTTATTTTCCAATTAACATAATAAAATTTACTTTGGAGTTTTCTAAACAAATAACACCTTTTCAGTTTCCCCTTATCAGCAAAAACTTATACATAAATAATATATATTAAATACTTATTAGATACTATAAGACATTAGTAATTGCGGATATTTATGTAGATATAAATTTCTGTATACTAATTTACAGAAATCTGAAATCAAAGATTAATTATTGTACTTTAATAGAAATTCAATTAAACTTCAACTAAAATAATTCTATAACGCATAATATCCTCAGCCTACTCTTTAATTTTAACCAGTTAATTGTGGAATTCCGTCTCAAAAATCTCTCATTGTGCGCGCAATAAAATCAAATAATAAAGTGTGTACTTGTCAAACTTAGGGTGAATGAATCTATAATATATTCTGACGAAAAACTACAGCGAAACGAAGAATTACACGTCTATCTGAAGAAATAAATAATTTATCGTTGAAAAAATTAGTACCATTTTACGTTTTAAGACAACGCGTATACTCGTCGAACGCAGTTAACTGGTTGAAACAATGCCTGTATGGCATATATTTAAAACTTTAATTAAGATTTCATTTAAATTCCTGAATATTTTAATTAGGTACGAGTCTACCATCACAGCACAATTTTTTGGACACACGCACTACGACGAGTTTCAGCTGTTCTATGATACAACTGATCTTGGAAGAGCTCTCAGTATAGCTTACGTTGGACCATCAGTTACGCCTTATGCTGATCTTAATCCAGGGTACAGAATATACTACGTCGATGGCGATCACCCGAAAACAACTAGAGTAAGTCGTGTTCATTCACTTCATATGTAATCAATATTAACCATTTGAACACATTACTGACCGGTAATTTTACGCAGAAGCTATCCCATGTCACTGGTTATTATTCCGTAATTAAATATGAAAGTGAGACAATCTAAATAAACTTCAATATACGTTATTTATACAGAATGAATTGAAATGAATTTTTGAGCATATCTTCTATATAACTTTGAATATTTTGCTTTTGCAATATGCTATATTGCCCTGCGCTTCAAAAATTGAAATTGCTAATGCAAATGTGAACATGAGTTAACTCGTGACCGGTGAACAATGTGTTAATATACACCTGACCCTTTATGTACGCGGAGTATTCGTTTCACGTGGGTTCGTTTTATGCAAATGAAGATCGTGTAGATAGACTCCTTCAGTACAAAATACAAACATTTAAGAGGAAAGCGCTGATATAAGTTAAGTTTTAGAAATACATATTTATTTCACATAACTTAACGAAAAATAATAATAATGACATCTCAGAAAACAAAATCAAATTTTAATCGGCGTCACTATCGCTGTTGTATGTACATGTCCAATGTGAATAGTAAAAAGCAAATGTTTCCAATCATTTTAAGGAAGGTCGTAATGACACAGGTGTGTCTATTGGGTGAAAAAATGTTCGGTTAACGAGGACGTATTATTAGAGACGCAAAACTGTTGAATATTTATTTGCTAAACTAAATACAACAGAGTTTGAAACTAACTGTATATTTATTAGTATGTATTTTAAGAAGGTGATTTACAAAACAAGAACGCTGTTCGTTGCTTGAACGTTTATTGCGAACTGCCGAACGACACAGAAAAAAAGACGCTCAGCGCGTGCAATAAAAATGGCTGTCCTTCTCAGGAAAACTGACTTCTGCGATAGAGGGGACTGCACCAACGGATGCCTTCTCACCATTAAAAATATATTCAATGCTCACTCTCATCAAAAACATAAATAATGTAGTTGAATTGACGAAAGTTCTAAGGACACATCGAAAAAACCTATAATACGACGAAGAGTCACAGCCTATCTAAAGCCTTTTTCAAATTTCGATGCATTCCTGTACCGACAGGGACTTCTTCATTATTTGTAGCCGCGATTTCATATTCATTACTTTCAGAAGAATAGGTTACGGCTTCTCGTAAAGCTATTTACCTTTTTCGTCCCGAATGGTACACATAGCTACCACGAATATTTTTAATTACTAGAGACCTAGAAAATGCCTTAAAAATAAAGGAAAATTGTACTGAGGCAGAATCGAAATCGGAAATGTCGGATGGTATGAAATCTGACAGAAGTTCGTAGCTGAATTAAACTTTATTGCCAAGATGATGGGTACAACCCGCGTAGCTCGCGTGACCGTTCTCGGCGAATACTCTATTAGTCCTTCCTTACAAACTAACCGTTCGCTCGCTGACACATCCCTACCAAAATCATTCTTTCGTCATTCTCACAGTTCACTTTCACTCTAAACCTAGGGTGGCCAACCTTTTGTATGCCATACGCCAATTTCTTCCACAGACAAATTAAAATGCGCCATATAACTTGAGCATCCCTTCGACCTTTTTACGTTTACGGTTGAGATAGAAAAATATAGATAGGGGTAAGATCTGCTTCGCTTAGGGGAGGAAAAGGAATAACCCAATTTGGCAATTAAATTAATTAATTTACGCGAGTTCAAAAGACACGTTTATTGAAGCACTTGAAGGGAGGAAATACCTTTAGACGGATGAAAACGAGCTTATCTTTATGCAGTTTTTTGAAAAGGAAAGGATTGTTTTACATTTTTGAAACTTTGGTTATCATTTATTATATCCTTTCTTTATTACAACGTATTTTTTGTTTTTCAAAATATTTAAAAATGGCGGAGTTATGTCCCTGTTTTTCGGGAAGGTTGTGGTGCGTCTTATTAAATAGTGGAAGCTCTAGCTTTGGCTACATTGATCTGAAACAAACCAGCAAGACATATTTCGATAATTAACATTTACAGGTTGTAGATGAACTTACAGAAAGTGAAAAATATTGAAAATTGAAAAAATGACACGCTTTTAAACAGAAACATTGAATTTTACATGAAATTTTCGCTATATTTTGCAATAAAAAGATACTTTTATTTACAATTTATTTCATATCTCTAAGTTCATATATAAGACAATATTGTTATAGATATGTGTGCAAAATTTCAGCAAGATCGATTGAGTAGTTTTTGAGTTATTGATTCCACCGATTTCGAAAATGTAGTTTTGAGATAAACACGTTCAAAGTTTCGATAAGTGATAACTCAATACTTTCAATGACTTAGCAGCTAGTCTGCGATTCCTGCGCCATACAATATTCCTTCTGTTTCCTCATAGAGCTGATTTTCCTCCATACGTTGTTCTCTTCTTGCTTTTCGAGCCTCTTTGGTAGTTAATGAGGTGCGTCGCTCCTGTCGAATTATTCTCTGTTCGTCGATTTTGTCGGCGTATTTTTTTGCTTGTTTTCCAATTACAATATTCAAAACACTCATAGTTCTTAAAACTGAAGCATATCCTTCGTTAAATAAGCCAGCTGGCAAATATGCTGCAATTTCAATCATTTTTATTCCTGAATGCAGGTACTTTGGAGCGAAGCGCCAAACAGTTGAGTTGAAACTCTCGTTATTGTTCTGAGTGTGTCCGCCCAACCACCTCTCAAGTAGATTCTATTCAGATAAATCTTCGTAAATTAGTAGGATGTGCTACTGCGCGTCTGGATGCAGTGGTGCAGGATGTTCTATAAGGTCCAAATTTGCTCATGTAGCTAGAGCTTTCTGCCACTTGCACCAGCTGTCATTTCCTACCGGGCAGTGTTCGTGCCTTGGATTTTCTTTGGTGGAGCATAAGTGATAATACGAGGCCATTATAGGTTTCTTCATATTTTCCACACTATGAATATTTCTTCGTACGGCTAAGCCATAGTACGCGGTGAGTTTCCTGATAAGCGCATCAGTCAGCTTGCCGTTTCCACCGAGGTTTTTTGTTTTTTTAATATTTCGAAGCCGGCTGCCCATTCTTTTCTCGACGTGGCCAATGTATTCGTTCTTAGTAACTTAGAAGTTATCTCCATACGGATTTACATCCATAATTGCCTTGAAAGTTTTCGAGTCTCCATCTCCTATATAGTTACCATATTTTACTCCAAACTTTTCGTCTGATCTCGAAAACATTTCTATTATGGCATTAACTTCCATTTTAGCCGCGGAGCCTTCGTGATTTTTTCTACACTCTTCCTAATGTTCCTCGTACCACTCGAGATATTCTTGAGTATCCATTTTATTTTTCCAGAACGTACATCCTTGACAGTAACTACTTTTGACATCTAAATCAATAACTTTGCCAGAATAATAACCTATGAGCGTCGTTACTCCATATAACGATTTGAAGCCGCATTTCTTCCAAGTGCCGTCACCAGATACTTTGAAATTTAAAATTGGTCTCCCGTGTTTCTCATTTTCTTGCTTTTCTTTGTCCACGACTTTCTTAGAACAAAACTCAAACATTGATTGGGTAGCTGAGTAAATATGTTCAATAATTTTATTATATGCACTTTCACTCAAGCCGTCGCATATGTCCATAAGGTTACAAAATAAATTTAGTACTTCCCTACCAATGCCTAAAAGGCGCATAATGAATACAATTCTACGGTTTACTTCATAGCCATTATGAATAAGCGGTCCTGAATTGATATCTTTACGCCCACAGCGGCACAGAACAACAAGCTTGAAACCTAGACCCCGATTTCCACTCTCCTCAAATTTGACACTTTGTTTACACTCACGGCAGATAAGAAGAGTTGACAGTGTAGTAAAAACAGTGAAAAATTCAATAAACCTATATGCGTGCAAGGGATTCCAATGAATATCATCACTGCTGCTGCTGGAGAGTTTTTTTGCACTTGCACTTATACCTGCACTTGTACTCGGTTCTGTACTTCCACCTTCTTGTCGTGTAAACTGATTCCCGTGGAAACGTTTTTTACGCGGATTCGATCTTCGAGACGTTACTTCCCTATTTCCTTTCGGATAAGAACTAAGAAAGTTTCTGGAGAAAATGCTTCTGCTTCTCCACTCTACCAGGGTTATATACCCTGTCCTAGAAAAGGACAGGAAGCATGCCATTTTTAGCAAAAAGGCGCGAAGAAACTCCGGTAAAAGTTGGAGTCACCGGCTAGAACAATACTTTATACCTTAGTCTACGGGGGAAAACCCTAACATGTACAAGTGGTTGCCAAATGCGCGACCTGACACTGACCAGACTCGCATAAGACCCTGCAATAAAACTTTCTAAAAATACAAAATTTCAAACCTAGCAACGGCATGAAAGCGACGAATAACAAATACAAGTACAGTAGACTCCTGTATAACGCAATTAATATTTCACGAGTTGTATAAATTCGAGCTATAGGAAATCGCGCTGTATGATAATTTTTCTTGTATAACGCAAACAGTGTAAAGTAACATGTTTACAATGATTGAAATGAGGGAATTATGAAAGGCGGGTCCTCCGCTTCGAGCGCGTGAATATATACCTGCGGTGGGCTACCGCCTATGAGTCCCGATTATGGGGTATAGCATCAGAAGGGCTCCGAATTTTGCTTTAAAACTTTGGCACCATACTCTTAAGATGTTGTACTAACATCCTATAAAAAGAAAATATTGCGATTTTAAAGATCCTCTCGACGCTATCGCGCAGCGCGCAACCCGGTTCATTAATTCAAACACACTTTCGTCTTAAACTAATCACACGACGAACACGGGTCCCCAGCTTGTTGCCGTCACAGTAGCACACAGAAATCTTGGTTAAGACAATTTCTTTTTGGTATCTCAGTTTGTCGTATTCTCTTTCACTTACTGTCAGTTGCTGCGAACTTGGCACTTGTGACGTCAGGAATGGTTGTTCGGTAAGTCGGCCTACTGTCTTGTGCGGTCCCGAGAACTCCCGAATTTATGATCTCGTGTCCCAGTTCGCAAAGGAGTAGGATCACCGTATTTACAGGAGACCGCAAATATACAAACGTTATTCTCGTTTCTACGTAAAACTGGTTGTGTACAGAATTATACAGGGTGGACCGTAAAGCGAGATCTGCTTAGATTATTTTGCTGCTAGCGGTTCGACTGAAAATTTCTTAAGCTAAAGCAACATGGTTCGAGGAGCGCTTTAAGATGATTCTACCAAACTTTTTGTTAACTCTTTTTCCTTTAGAGTTATCAAGGTTATCTTCAGTTTTTTACAAGTAAACCTACAACTTTTTTACACTCATTTTTTAAGGGATACTGAGACGAATTCGACAAGCGTCATAACAAACATCTTTTCCTGAATCTAAAAAGACTGAAGAAAACTGTTAGTTGGAAGAGTTTTGAAGATTCTTAACCCCTTGAGTGGAAATTACGAGTCTCGCCCCCACGAGCTCTCCGCGCGACAATTGATTTTGTACATTATTTTACAAATCTGCCATATCGTAACCAGAATAATTTCCCTATTTTCATAAGTAAATTTAATTGAACTCGTAATACTACAATTTCCTTTGCAATAACTGTATCTATAAAATTGCAAGAAAACTAAGTATCGTAATCAGGAACATCCGAGTCGAAATAAATCGTAAGGCAAAGGGTTAAAGATTATTAAAGAGGAATCGCAAGCCAAACTGTTGTACACTTTTTGGAGCTGTTGACAGATTATTATTAGTCATTATTAACTTGATCCTTCGCGTACTGTTTGTTCATGTTTCGTTCTGCACCTTGGGACACATTCAATGATATCTACTAAAGATGACCTTGACAACTCTGGGGAAAAAGGGTTGACAGAAAATTTAGTACAATCATCTTAAAACTCTCCTTAAACCATGTTATTTTAGCTAAGAAAATTTCCGATCGAACTGCTAGCAATTGTATAATCTAAGCTGATCACGCTTCGGGGTCCACCTTGTATATCATGACATTACATAGAACAATGTGAGTGGTTTTCTGAAGAGCAAGAAGTAAAGAAATTTCAAAGCAAGAACTCCAGCGTTCTTTTTCGCGCGACTCGATTAGTGTGCGTGACCGTCTCAGCGAACCATATACCAGAACCGAAAATCCGCGTGGACAAGGCGTGCGCTATTGAATCTGACCACTCAGACGAGAGTGCCAGGTTCGCAGCAACTTACGCACAGTGGACAGGATTGGGAAAATAGGTGATATTTTGCTATAACTTTTCAACCACAGAAGTAATCGAGGTAAAATTTTCACGAAAAAATTATTATTTTTTAATGACAATCATTGTAATATATTTTATTTTTCAAATAATTTGTTAACAATATAACGATAGGGAATGAATATGGGTGTCAATTACACTGTGGAACACGATTTTTGTTTTGTAATAGCAACTAGGTGGTCCTTACAGAGTTCCTCACCCTAAATACGAATCCGAAAACCAAATTGCTGGGTTACATCCAATTTTCGAAAAAAGTAGGTTTTTGTAAAAACAGTCGAATTTTTCAGAGAAACAAGTGTTACGTGAAAACTAAAAACGATAAGCAGTTAAAATTCGCCATAAAAAATAGAGGAGAGTTGCCCGAATATGTAGCTATAAAAATTTTGAATTTTGCGTCTCATTAAATGCTGTGCGATGATGAAAGATTAAAGAAGGGTAGATGCGCGTACGTTGTACAGACTTCTGTTACATTTCTACGAAAAGTTTGTTGGCTAGCACGACTTTGCTAAGCAGCATTGTCAGCAAAATCTCCGTGAAGAGCGCGTGCACAGAACTTTGAGGTCTGTATAGACCTGAACTCCAGTCACTTCTTATGTCTATATACAATGTTTAATTATTTTATAAATTTTCATAATAATTATGAGAAAGCTTTTCACGATCGTTCTGTTTTAAATAATTATTTATTTGTATCTCACTTCGTCGTCTTCTGCTTCATTTGCGAGCTTCGTTTACGCGAATCATCCAATGATAAAAACGGTCGAAATCGAGGCGTCAACGTTCATCGCGAGTGGCCGCGTCCTCTTGCCGCACTTGCCCCTTCAGTTCGTAGGATAGGTGAACAGATGTCTGTTCACAGTACATATCCGCGGAGCCTGTTTCGCTAAGGGCACGGTCACTCCCACGCCCAAAATAATGTGCTTACGTGCATAGCTCATTAATCAATGAGAACATCCCATTTCCAAAATAGAACAATAATAAATTTACTGAATTCAAGCGGCCAATGGGAAAATTTTTTGCTCTCGAATATTTCTGGAAGGCGTTGCAACGCTTCCACTTTTTTCTGTCAGCAAGTAGAGCCTTTAAGAAGTTATGAAATCCGTAAGCAACACGGCTCCAGAAGGTCTAGAAAGAGTTTTACATTAATAATTTTGACCCCTGTATATTTAGTCTTAGCGACTAAGGTCCCAATAAGACAAAACTCCAAATCATCAAATATACAGTCCATGGTTTTAACACGTACATCTATTCGCAATTTACGTGGAGTTTACACGTATCGTGACTGTCTTGTTTCGCAACGGAACACTATGGTCTTTCAGTTCAGACGCGATAATAGTACAGAAACTATAATTATACAATTGTTGGGATCTTCCAAAGTGGTGGGTTGCTGTTGGTATCGTATAATTATAACTTGTGCCGCTATTGTGTCAAAAGTAATTTAAAACATAACACGCTCCATGATTTGTTATTTTCGATGGTGTATCGCCGCTAATGGACGTTATTTTGAGCAATCGTAACATAAAAGAAACATAGCAACATACTATCGTAAAGTTACTCCAAACATTCATTTTTTTCGAACTTATTCCATGGTCTTAAACCTCTGACCCAATAACATTTTTAAAAAAGTGGTTATATTTACAGTTTTCTGTTTATTATACTACTTTGTCGAAAGTATTTAAATTGCGGTTGAAGTATTTTTCGTTTTTAGCTTTTCATTGCTTTGTTAAATAAGGTCTATAAGATTTCTGAGTGGAAGATAAAATCGAGGCAATTTTCCTCCACAGATTATTCATAACGTTAGTGAATCTGCCATGCAATACTAAATTGGTAGCTCTAATTAAAAAAACAAAATTATCCTCCAACTATAATCATGTTTCACAATGTGCAGAATGAACTTTTGCCTGATTGTTTTGTTTGATTTACTACAAACTTTAATATTATTTACTTGCATGTTTTCAAATATTTTAGTTGCATTTCGTATGATACTTGTAATTGTAATATGTACTAGTTGTGAATTCCTTTTTCAATATTTATCTATTTATAATTTTTTATAGTACAATATAACATGAAATGAATTCACATAATAAGTATTGACTGAAATTGCATTTTCAACGGTGTACAATTAAGTACTTTATATTAGTTAGTTGTAGATCACGAGACCTGGGTTATGAATCTGAAGGAAGCAAATTTATATGATTATCCAATGTGGCACAAACTATATAGTGCGCGACAAGCGTATCAAATGCCATCTCTTTTGCCTAGAGACTGGGACTCTTTAATAGATAAAATGAGTAACGAGCCGTCACTCTTTCATCTTTATTACAAGTAAGTATAAATTTTCTATAATAAAATTTACTCGCCTACATTCCTGTAAAGATTCTAAGGAAAAGATCTAAGAGAAAATTTTAAGCTAACAACCTTTGAAAACCTTTAGAATATTAAATTCTTGTTTGAATGCATGAATTTGATACACAATTTAAATCGTGAGAATAATAACAGATAATGATGGGTCTTCAGCATTCGAAATTCAAGGTTTATCTTATTTATTTCGATTCAAGCGATCATCAAGTTCATTCGAGTATTTTAATGTAGAAATCGCTTTATAATAATTATACTGTGAATTTTTCAATACATGTCACACAATTACTGTCATTTCATTTCATGATAAAAAAATATTACTTAATATTTTAATATTTATAATATAGATAATATTATAGATAATATTATGGTTAAATAATTGTGTAGATAATATTTTGGTTAAACTTTACTTGAAAATACTATATTTTAAAAATGTTCTAAATGTATATGCCGATAGTACTTAATAAATAAAGATCAAATTTTAAGTTTCGGATTTAGGAATTGATCGGTTTCCAAATTATGCATATGTAAAGTAAATAAACAAATATGTATATGTAATGGTATAGGTAGTTCCGATTTTCATGATCTTGTAATATGCTAAAACTGAAATTTAAAATTTACTCCTTATTCCTCTTATATAAGTATATTAAAACAGTTTTTAAAGAAATGGTGCGCAGAAGTAAAGTTTAACCAAAACAAATCAAGGTAAGTATATATATTAATTTAATTTTTCAGGAACTACTATAAAAATTCTCCTGTGAGGCCAGCGTGCAATGATGAATGTCGGAAAAGACTACTGTGTGATTTACGAAGTGGTAGAAGTCACGATCGCAAAGCATTGTGTCAGAGTCTTGAATCTAGGATTGACAGTGAAACAAGGACAGGCTGGCGTGTTTGGATTTACAATGGATTAGCATTATCGTACGTACATAATTTCTGGATTAGCCTGTATTCTAATAATACCGAAAATAACAAAACTGATGTGAATATTATATATGACTCTGTTTAAAAAGTTTTGCACCAAAGTGTTATGTATAATAACATAATATGTGCCATATAAGTATGTACTCTTGTTAGCATAATTTTCTAATTAAGAAACCTGTTAGCTCAAATTACGTCTGCGTATATAACACAATTTAAAATTTCGTTATAAACACTGCAATATAAATATCTAACACCCTAATATCCTATATTGTATCTATTACTTATATTGCATAACAATCGTTTTACTTAACTGTATCATATGTAATTATATTTGAAAGTATCAGACTGATCTCTGTATTATGTCGATATATTTACAATGGAACATACCAAAGTGGCAGTCGCAAATTTTACTGCAATTTTGTTACTGAGCAGTTCTAAAAAAAATATTGAACATGTAAATATTTTCTTTATCGACCATTATTCGCATGAAAATATTAACACTAAATGTACCGGCACTTTATATGTACCTATCCCTACGATAACTAGTGAAATAATTGATTACAAAATAAAAGTAAACAACTTAGACGATAAATGTTTCTTACTGAAAACAAAAACGAAAGGATCGACATAAAATTGACAAATTTATTAATCGGGCATAAGGAATAGTACTTTTTTTGAGATCCAAGCCTGCATTAGCTGCTCTGCCGAACCCAAGTCGCGAATATTCCCCTCCTCCTTTATTAATTTTTCTTATTGCTTAACCTGCAGCTTTTCGCTGCTAGGTTTAATGTTACGTTACGCGCGGTACGTTTAGTGCTAAAAACGGTCTTTATATATAAGGATGAGAAACATCGTTAGTCGAATTATCTTACAAACAACTAGAGTTAGAAATGGTTGGACCTAAATAATTTTAAACTTCTTTTGCAACTCCGTACTATAATAATTTAAAATATCATAAAAGATTACTACCTGTTTGATCGTAGGAAATCCAAGAGAGCTATAATAATTTCTTATATAAACTGACAGGAAAATTAATTGAAATTTGACTAGAAAACCTAAATAAAGAAAATTAAGAAATATTACGTTTGTTTTAATGGGCGCGGCAATCAAGACGCGAGCAAAACATTGTATATATTTCGGACAGAGTAACACTTCACTTTTTTATGCATAATGCGTATTATTAGTTTCGTGCTCAATTTGTATTCAACTAATACGTACGCAAATCTAAACAAATAAATATTAAAATAATTCCATTTTTGGAAGTATTTAATATTACAATTTTGTACTGAAAAATTTCGATGGTGGGAGACTGAACTTATCGGTACGGTACATTGAACATTCAATAGAGGTACTACAGTCACTTTTATAGTGGATGAGAAATATTAAGTAATTAACTTATAGTCTCACCTTTGGAGGTGTTTTTATCATTTTTATGTGGATGATGGCCAATGAAGAAACAAATACGCTTGCGAAAATATTCTTACGAGGACTACTTTTTATCAAAGTTGCGACAAAATTTTATTGGACAAAACAGTTTAATAGGAGAAAAATAGCAAGAAGGTAAAAACCTTCAACAAACGCTATCTTTATGTCTTATTTAACGTTAGATGTATTAGGATGTAACATATTTAATGCGTTGAATATAATATAACATATTTTTTTATTATTACGTATAAAAATACTGTTACTTTAATATTAGTGTACTAATTGTAAGATGGTATCACTTGAATACTACTGTTACTATAATACTGCTACTCTGATACTATTATTAATAAAATAAACTATTAATTTAATTTCACTACTAACTTCGAGTATGTAAAAAAGCATCGCATTTACAAAGCTAATTACTAAACACCTTTGTAAAAAGCTACCACTGCATATTGTAATGCTTTTGTCTTTATATTAATATATCTTTATTATTATTCTTTTCTTCCTAGTTACAATTTTTTGAATTGCACATGGCAGCGATAATGCATGCTTGCAAAGTGCTATTTATGTATGAAATGATTGAATTATTATAGAGATGTTTACGTTATTTGTGTTTCAGAAATTTCCTTGTAAAGCATTCGACATCGTAATTAAGCAACAGAGTACCACTGCATGGTACTAGGATGCTTTATTTATATTACATACGGGGATTCCTCTATA